CAGTGTGCTGTGTGACTGTGTGACGTCTCCATGTCTCTTCTCAGATTTAACTGTAAGCTCTACAGGTTCCGGAACAACACTCTTGGAGCCCACAGCATCTAGCACAGCAGGCCTCTAATCCAGGCTTGGACACCTGGTTACTAACATGGTAGCTGCAATGATAAACCTCAGAACACGAACAAAAATCATAGGCATCCCACCACTAAATCTAGCCTTGATCCTGTTGTGTCTAATTACAGGCACAATTGCAGACACTATTATGTTGCATTACACTCACAAATGGAAACCTAATTCTTCTGTGCTCTTACATGTTCTTAGTCGTAAAAGTAGAGCCAGAGTTTTTGCATAAACAAGCAAAATTTCCCTGCATAAAGAAAGAAGCAATTAAAATAATGATATCAGGAAATGGTTAACAGTGTGCTGCGGAGAAGTCCGATAGATACAGCTTGGAGTAACATTATGAATTAATCATTAAGAAAGGGTTATTGATCAAAGTGCCTTGAAATCTGCTCCAGTTATTTCACACAGACACGGCACAGGGCAAAAAAAAATAACACAATTTTATTCCAGAAAGCTCCCAAAGGCTCTGATTTAGAATCTGAGCATGTGTGGGGATCCATAAGGGCAGCACAGACTGTGTGCAAGGTGAGATCTGCCTTTACAAGCAAAGGCCTCCGCCGTGCACATGAACCGCACGGCACACATTCCTATCCCCAGTTAATTCCTCTGGCTGCCCACGCTGTTACAGCCAGAGCCAGCACTGAATTACAGCTTCCTGCCTCAGGAGGGACCGAAGTTTGGGAGGTACTAAAAATGAGGGAAGAAAATGACTCATTTTAAGGATGACAGCTAGGATTTTTTCAGTCATGATTATGAAGATTCTTTCATCAGCTGTGCTGGGACGAGCTATGATTCAAACATCTGCTCTCCTCACAAGTTGCCCTCCCTATGACGCCGAGGCGGTTCCCCTCCCAGGCTCCTCACGCTCTCAGGCGCTCGCATTGCTCCCACTATGGTTTCAACAGAGTGTTTACTAACACAACTGCTTCAATGCACGTAACTCAGACTTTATTTTAAGTGTCAGGCTTTACAGCACTGATGCTAAGGAGGCTGGAACGCTTCCGCGTTCAGTTATTTAGCCTGTAAAGCCATTTAAAGTTACCAGGTTGGAATAGGAGCATTTTCTCCATGACTCTCCTTCTCCGTTTTGCAGGGACGGCTGCCACCCCACAGCGTGGACACAACTCCTCCCGCCCTGTCCCCCAGCCCCGTTCCCAGCCACAACCAGGTGTTTCAGAGGGAAGTTCACCAGAACCGGTCAGTAGGAAGTTATGGATAAGGATGGTTTAAGACAGCAGGAGGGCTTCACGTGGAGGATAAGCAGAGGGCTCTTAGGTCAGGTCCCTGGCCTGAAGGCCTTTCTGAGCCGGTCACCACCTCGGTTGCACCCTGGGCCATGGCATAATCAGCCTCATGTGGAGTTACCCTCCAGCTCCCATGAATGAAAGGTTGGCTCGTGCACTGAAGCAGCAAGGACTGCATATGGATCAAAAACCCCAATACATCAGCACAGAAATATTATAACTTTTATAAGTATAGGCCATTTGGTTTTCATTTAAACATAAAGCCATCTTCTTTGGCAAGATAAGTTATTTTTAGAGAGGCAATTTTTTAAAAAAGTTCAAAGGTCTCACTGCAGTCAGTGACAAGACTTAGCTGACTTGAGGAGGGCTGAGCTCCTGCTCCATGACGTTTTCTTTCTGGCCATGTGATCAAGGGAAAGAAAACAGAAATGTGAAAACTCAGCTTTAGCACACCAGACTTTCTTGATCTGCAGAACATAACGCATTTACTCTTGGGGATACAAAAGACCATCTATTCCTCAGCTACAGTAGATCTCCACAACAGCAGGAATCAGCTTGCTAGCTCACCTTGCTTGCTCGTGCCCAAAGCACTGAGTGCTGCCACCCCACAGCGTGAGGTCCAGTGCCGCTTCCTCAAATCCAAGGCAACTTTGCCCATCCCTACACAGGCAAAAGGAAGGATTACAGCAGTCCCACCAGCTTCCCAGGCCCCCTGCAGCTTCCAAGGAGCCAGGGTGGTGCTTACTGAAAAGCTGCAGCAAGTCACAACCTCTGCCTGAACAATTCTGCTTCTTGGCTATAAACAAGTTTTTAAGAATCTACTAGTGACTCAGCCTGCTAGGTAGGATTATTACTAACGCCAGCACCGTCATCACCACAATTTACTAGTGACAGGGGACATTCTCCTTCCTTGCCAGTGCTTAACGAGCACGCCTAAGCCCTTTCAAAACGTGGCAGATGCCTGATCGCAGCTGATAAATACAAGTGATGCAGTTTACTGCTTTTACTGCTCATGTTCAAAACAGGTGCTGTCAGCCGAGAGCGGGCGCAGGTAACAGCCTGAAAGATGGTCAGAAGAAAGGAGGGAAGATGCAGATTGATTATAATCTGTGGTAGCCATCCCATCAAAGGAAGCGGGAGGAAGATTGATAATAAGGAATGAACACAAAGGAGGGAAAACCAAAGGTTAGTTTGGCACAAGAACACCCTGGCCATTGATAAATTTGAGCAGGAGTTTGGGAAGAGGTTTCCAGCAACCAGCGAGATTAGAGAACAGCCTCCTGGTCAGCAGGAGGGAGACTATTTCTGAGCAGATTCATGAAAGAGGATTCAATGCCACAACCGGCTGGGAGAGCAGATGGAAGTGTCTCTTTGTAACCTTATCTGCTGAGAAGGGGACACACATGATGGCTGCACGGGAAAAGAGAAGGCAGCACGAATGCCACTGATTTATACTTCTCACTGTCTGCTTTTAATTCCTTTCCCACTGTCATTTTCCCCCTGCAATAATGCAAACGGTGTCCATTAAATGAGGTCCTGCTACAAAAATCACTGACAAAAAAAACAAGTGAGCAAAAGGAGAACACTTCTCCATTGGATGACTCTAGAAATCAAGATGACATTTTATCACTGTAGGAAATCTTTCAGGTTTCTATCAGCCAGTATCACTGTACCTCAAAGCTCTTCTAATCGTTGCTTGCCAACACCTTCCTTCACAGCAATAACCTACAGCCAAAGAGGGGATATTCTAAGCCTGAAGAGCAAGTTATTGTGTACTGCTCAGTTTAAGTGCATTCAGCTGTCGACAGAGCACATATAAGAGGCGCTTGCACCCAAAGAGCTCCTAACCTAATGAAACAAAACAGTGGCACATAAAACTGCTCAGGATACAGCTTGTTCACCTCGACCTCGTGCTTGCAGAACAGCCACCAGCAAGCAGGCAACCATCAGCTGGCCTCTCTTCGCACTGGTGACTGCTGCAGGTCAGGGTCCAGAAGGCCAACATCCCTTCCCAAACCATGGGGCCGCTTGTGCCACTCTTCCCATGGAAGTAACACAGAGAAAAGCAGTGGAGAAATTGAGCATAACAACAAGAGACTCACTAAAAGCGAGCACATGTGCACGTGTGCACGCATAAAACCACTCAGAGCCCAGATCTTGTATTATGGAACTTTTTTTCACTCACTAGTATCAGTAGGTTGCCTTCCTTTAAAGCTGTGATTGATGTTTCTTTTTTATTTAAGTACCTCGGCAGCCTCAGAAGCCTGACATCGATTTCTTATGGGGAGCAGCAAAGCTCTACTTCAAGCACAAAAGCGCAGGAAAAAAAAATAGATTTAAAGTGCTCCATAATTCTATATTCCTTTATTTGTGAACCAAATTCATGTTACATTTTTCAAATGCTAAATAATAAATCTGAAAAGCTTGTCATATTCCAGGAAAATAAGCTCCAGAGTGACAGCCCACAGAAAGATAAATATCTCCAATCAATCACGCCTTATTAATTGCTCCTACTTTTTTTTTTTCTTAAGTACAACCTTGCAGAAGAAACATGCCCTTAACTGGTATAATCAAGTACCTTTTAATTAATGACAACAGAGGGTGGGGAGTAATTTTCACCAGCTGAAGATCACGTTTATTTTTACACCACTCCTTAGAGGGTGCAGAGCCTGAATCTTCTCTAGCTTGCTGAGCCAACAGGAGATACCTGCAAGGCCACGGCCACCCCAAGACGCCTCCTGTCCTTCATTTTAATGCACCTCAATGAGCTTTTTGAGGCACCTCCCAAACTCACTGAACCTTCTGGTTTTGATTTTGCTTTATGAGAACGAGCACAAAACCTCACCCAGAGCGAGTGGCAGCATCTCGCCCTGCCCTGCCCAGCTGCAGTTGTGACAGCAGAAACTGGGGCTTTTTGCCACCCTTCCTGCTCTACTCTACTGCATTTCTTCCTCAGGCTTCATATGAGATGTCTGAAGCTAAATCCACTCCTGTGTGCCCAAACTCATTTGATAGTGCAAACAGAAACTATACTTGCTTTTAAACTAACCTGAAATTAATACATTTGTATTGGGAAATACTAGAAAAACAAATAGCTCTGCTCATAAGATACAGGCAGCACAGATTCCTTATGGTGCTTATTTTCAGCCTTTTGAGATGCAAGTCCCTGCAAAGTTTCCTCTTCCTCGAAGAGCATTTCTTTGATCTAACTCAATCACTTCCAACTCTGGATATGGTGCAGGATTATATGTGCCCTTACTGGGCCAAACCATTCCCATCTCTTCTCCAGCACGACTTGCTGCAGCAGCAGGGCACAATGAACCCTGGTTTTGCATGGCAACAAAATCATCTCTCAGGTTCCCCCTTTATGCGACACCATTTTACACCCTTGCTGCACACAGCTGGGTCTCGCTAAGCTGAAAGGAGGAGAACAAGTGCTCAGGCAATGGCACAACAGCTCCTCAGATACCAAAGGCTTTTAAAGTATAATGGAGGATTACCGAAATGGGAACTAACCCCAGGAAAATAAGGTATCCCATAATTAGGAGGAGTTTTCTTCTTGCTCTTCTCTCAAAGTTTCCCCGGTCTGTGGAAGCAGCCTCCATGTCAAACTACATAACAAGTAAAAAGTCATACCTGTTTAGGCAGGCGATAGGATGTGTGGCGTCTGGTTGTTAAACAAGGAATATGTTCTGTTCCTGCAAAGGAAAAGAGACACAGACACCATTAAGTCTCTATTCAGTCTCTATAAACCCAACACTGTAAGGGCTATAAAATGCAACATACGTCTAAACACTTATGTTGGTGCATTTTTCTCCCAGCTTTATTTCCCAAGCTTCCCCTGAGATGCCAGCGCGGCTCCTCTGTGGCGCACAGCTCACTTCAGGACTGCCAGGGACCTGCCCATTCCCTACAGCTGCCCGAAGAAAAGCAGCCGGTAACGGCCTCATGAACCATCCCGTGCAGTAAGCAGTTCCATTAAACGAGCTGTGCCAGAAAGCAGCTCCAGCCGACATCGATTCTACCCACCCGCGGGACCAAGAGGAATGTTAACACAAGCTCATTCGATTTGCTCTGGCTCAGCAAGGATCAATGCTCTCAACAGCCGAGCTGGGCGCTCAGCATCCCGGTAGTCCCCACGTGTGTCACCAGTGCTAAATAACGCGGCGCAGCCGGGACCAGGGCAGGACAAACACACACAAGATGCACTCGACGAGGATGCCAACCTGAGGGTGGACTCACGTGTATCCCTCATGACTAGATGCATTTTTAAGCACAAGGAGGTAGGATTTATCTCAGTGCTTTCACATTGCCCCCTCAACCACCGGTGAACCTACACCCTAAGACTTGTGCGCGGAAAGGGCATTCACCTCCCTGCTAAAGCTCAACTGCAGTAAATGGGATAAATAGGAGCCAGCAGCAGAGCACAAAAATACCAGGAAACCAAAACACAACATGCAGCAGTAGGAGGCAGTTTCGCTGCCCCAGCAATTTGCTGGGGAGAGGTTGTAATTGGCATTTCCAGCCCTTCCTGACTAGGAAGAAAATGAGATGTTTCACAGATTCTTCCCCCAGAAAGTAGGAGACACCCGCCCCCATGGAGGAGCCGCAGCTCCCAATTCAGGGCAGTTATCTCATCCAAGAGAAGTTAACCTCCAAGTGCCCGGGCAGCAGCTGCTGCCATGGCAGGAATGGGGCTGCTTCTTGGACATGGGCATCTCCTAACAGAGAGGCAGCAGATGAAAGGCGTCACGTTTTGGAAAGGAAAACCTTCATTGGGTCATGCCTGCTTATCCCAACGAATCCCACCGCAACCTAGCGAGTAAAATCAATAAGGATACCTGGGTTTTATTCCTAGCTCTGCAATTCACTTATGGGCAGAACATATCACTCACTGTATCCTACTTAGCCTGCGTGCATGTTAGAGATTGTAACTCCTTTCTGTAAGGCTCTTCGAGATCTACCAAGGAAAGCTAATAGAGGACAACCTAATGCTTTTCACATACAAACACAGAATAAAGGACTCAGGCAAATGGATCTGATCTGTTAGCACCAAAGCTTTTCAGGCAGTTTATCCTTTCATAGACCATCCTGTGCCTTCTTTCCATTCCCTCCCCAACGCTCCCCATCAGCAGGAGATGCTTAAGCTAAAACTACAAACATTTTTCAGACAGGCACTAAAAAAGAAAAACTGGTTTTCTTTTTGAAGAAAAAGATTTGAAATATCTTTTCCAAAGGTATTTGAAGGGCAGAATTCACTACGCAGTTATTTCTAACTGAATCCCAAAGTGCCAAGAATTGAAGGTCAAATGCATCTGAATTCCAGCTGGTGATGAGGAGAGGAGATGGTGGGGAAGGCTCCGGCTGCAGACAGCAACACGAGGGCCAGGCTGCGCTGACGCTCAGCGGCTCGCGCCGCTCTGCGCCTGGCCCACAACTGCCCTGCTCATTTACAACAGGCTTTAACGCTCCAAAACCTAGCAGTGCTGATCTTGCCAGCAAAAATGTATTTATTCTAAAAAGCTATTAAATTGCTTCTGTATTAAAAACAACTGGATTATTCTCAGCACCCTCTAATTCCTACCAGTTAAGTAGCACCACTTGTTTGGCAACTATAGAAATCCCTTTTCCACTACAGTAATCTACATCAAATTCTTAGCTTTTTTTTTTTTTTTAAGTCAAAAAAGTTAAAACTTGTGAGAAAGATTCCTCATGGTGGAAATATCACGCGACTGCTACTGCTCGCCTGGGCAGCTCATTTTCCAGACAGTGAAGGAGACAGAGAGAAGACAGAGGCAGGGCTGTGACCGTGAGGCGGAGCAGGAGGCCTGGAGGCGCTCCTGGCTTCGCGGCGCGGCGGGTGAGCGGAGCCCGCAGCGCGCGCCGGCAGCGGACGCCGCGCGGTCGCTTACACAGATCAGCGTCAGCAGCGCCGGTCGCCTTGGAGGAGGCGACTCCTCGTCCTCTCGGCAGCACCAACCCGGCTACATTCGCAGCTGCCGAGAAGAAGGGAATAAAGAGGTGACAGAGCAGGACAAGGGGGGCAAAGGGGAGCGCAAGCACATCAGTATTTTCACAGCTTGAATACAGGAGCCCAGCTGGCAGCCCGAGGGGGGTTGTGTTTCGGGAACCACTAGACGAAGACATTTGCTGCATTTGATGAAAATACACAGTGTCTGGGTTTTACTAATGGTGTCTCTAATAGTATATCCGATTTTATAACTACCGGGGAAGAAGCTGTTCTGCTGACAATTATTGCTGAGGCGTTTGAAGCGTTTTGCCGAACTCACCAGCGCAGACCTGTCATTAATGTTCCTTTGCTTTTAACTACAACTCCCTTTCTTTGTAGATAGGTCTGGGGTCTGTTTTCCTGATCTTGTCAAGATGAATTTTAATGCGAGGTGCTCGAGAGATGTGCCACCTGCTATTTTATATAATTTATTGTATAATGAGTTCCTATAAATTCTTACGATGGCTTAATAGACTTGTAAAATGAACAACTGGCCTATTTTTTCCTCCGTTGTTCAGTAAAGTGGGAAGACTTGGGGTCACTCCGAGTTGCCGACACGACCCTGCCTTGCCACAGACACCCCTTTGGTTTCAACTTGGCTAACTTGCCTAATGGATGAATCTCCTAGAGAAGGGCACCCAAGGCTCACTGCTAACTGCGAGAGGCTGCCGCTATACCTCAGTTTTTGCCATTTGCTTTAAGAAGTCTTGGCTATTTCAGACACCGCCACGCTGTTGCGTGGACACGTCGCTTCCCAGGCTGGAGAGGAAGGGCTCCCTAGAGGCTGTTTTTCAGTCAATTGCTGTTTCCTACAAATAGTCAAACCTGACAGAAGTCTTAGTGATCCAAAGCCAAGGAATCTCCAGTCTGACACAGGCACGTTGGCCTCACCTCAACACCACATACACAAACCACGTGGCTCCTGCTTCAGCTTAGCACTGCTAGGCCCCTTGCCCAACACTGCTAACACTAAGTCTGTATGAAATAACCAGGACTCTTTCCTTTTTTCTTTGTAAATGAACGACATAAAGAGCAACCTGCCTCAGAGCAGGTGCACTATTATTTGTCTTAAATAACCCTTTTAACCTTTAATCTATCCTTGGAGCGCATAAGGCATAGTATTTACTAAGCTTCATGGCTGTAAAACTAGAATTTGTTCTGATCCTAAGCAGAGCTCTCAGGCAGACACACAGAGCCAGGACGCAGGCGACTGAGCAGGGCTTCCTGCCTCAGTTAGGAATAAGATACAACAGAAAATCATCCCCTGTCTTTGATATACAAACCGAAGTAGGAACTTTAGGAGCTGGGCGGGGGGAGAAATCTTTCTGTGGCTGAGAAATGAGGAAGGACATCAGAGAACAGGTTAGAAAGCAAGAAATACTGCATCAATTTGGCTCCTTCCTCTCATTTCAGAATCCTTTCCAAATAAACTAGTGTTCATCTTACAGAGATTGCTATGATCTACAACAGAAACAGAAAATATTCTCCATATATCCTATACACGAGTCAACCATATTCCAGACATGTAATGGATATGTAGAGCGAGACACAGTAAAAATGTCACTTTTTAGGCTTGGGTTGAATTTACGTTTCTTGTCACTGGGATATCATACACTTTAAGGGTATCAGTTAAACTTTAGAAGACGATTCGAATAAAAAAAAGTAATAAACCCGCATTTTGAAGATTTGTAGACGGAGAGACCTCCTGTGGATCACAGAGGGTGTTATTGCCTGAGACAGGGTGAAAACCAAGGTCACTCGGCCCCTGCTTCCCTGCTCTCCTAAGAAGCTTGAGCGGGTAATCCGCGCAGTGCGGCCGCGGCGGCGCGGGGTGTAATTCCACCCGCCCGCAGCAGCGACGAGCGGCTGCCTCCCACCGCGCACGTTAACACAAATTGCATTACGGCGGCGGAGCAGACGAGCTTCAAAGCGCAGCGCGTCTGTGGGGAGCTCTGAGCCAGCCCCAAGGCTGCTGTTACCACCCGGCTGCCTGTTCTCCCTTAATCCAACAAGTTCACTTTTCCGAATGGCGACCAGGCTGGGCAGGTTGTGCAGCTCCCCCTGCAACCACATCTAAACTGAGGCTTTGCACCGGACTTACGTATGTGAGACAACAAGGCCCAAAGCACCAGCTTCCAGCATGCTGGGCTGTGGACGGGCACATGGACACGTGCCACGATGCATCCTGGGCTGCCTCCGGGAAGGATCCGCGCTGCCTTTCTGTATGTGTATTCCCAGTTCACACACACACCAGCAATATCTGCACTTCTCATGCACAGCAGAGCAACTGCAGAGCAAGAGGTCCCAGAGGCTTTAAACCCTTTATCTTCTAAATCACCTCTAAACTGCTTATCTCCATTAGCAATCTGGAGCAGCCAAGTCACCTGTCACAGGGTGAAGGGGAGTTAAGTAGTGCCAAGTCTCTTGCTAGTTGAGAAGGGCAAGCGCTTTTTGCTTTCTTTGCCATGGATTTTGAGTGCACAACTCAACTCTACTTCTAGCACTGCCTGGAGGTCTTGACTTTCCAAGCTTGGAGCCATCTCCACTGCCAACCTTACCATGCAAAGCATTCGGGCGCCCTGTGACAGTCGCCACCAACTCTTATCGCCCTGTCACTTGCACGTCCAGGTACAGTTTTCCCCTGTTCTCCTGTTTTTCCCTCAATCTGCTGTCTGCCCATGTTTGCCC